TGCATGTGTTTTATTTTGGCAGGCAAATCATAAAAAATAGAACACAGTCTATATCAGAGTCCTGCACGGGTCTGATTTTCTAAGACCCGCTCCCGCCCCGCACCCGCGACGTGCAATACCGAACCCGCCCCGCTACCCGCACATATTGCCAATTAGTTCCGCAACCCGACCCGACCCGTCGGCACAAGATCCGCAACCCGACCCCACATATAGCCTATATGAGCAGTGAAAACGTGCAATTATTAACACACGCAGTTGCATATTTGTCTCAAAAAGCGTGGGATGTTGATTATTTTCTCCATTTAGGATGACACCGAAAGCCTCCCAGACGTTGGATTTCGCTCTTGAGGAAGTGTTATTGAAAATGCTGTATTCTCCGCTAGAGAGCTTCACCTCAGCCATTTCGAATGTGGCGCGCTCAGCAGCAGATTGATGCTGCAGAGGTTATGATTATGCGCGGTCTCGCGGGGGAGAGGTCTGAGGATTTAAACATTAAACTAAATTATTATTATTTGAATATATTTATTATGCAACACCCGCGACCCGACCCACATCCTCTTTCTTTTACCCTGAACCGAACCCGGAAAAAAGCGTTTGAAAAAATACCACCCGCGAATCACTTTTTTTGCGGGTCACCCGTCGGGTACTCGCATGCAGATGCAGGACTCTGCCCTGTACCCGCATAGCGCGGTTTATCATTCTCACCCCCCGCGCATGTGCACTAGCTGCCTCCTTTACTGGAGTTACAACCTGGGCAGCGGGTGGGGAATCTGTACGGTCAACATTACGTGGAAAGAAAAGACACTCAGACTGGAATACAAGCAATCCCTTTTATTGTTTACAAAAGATGACCTTGCCACAGTGGGATCAAACAGGGAGGAGGCGGGATTCGCCCCCTCGCGTCCTGGCCGGAGAAATCACCCTCCTCCGCCGAGACGCTTCCTCCCGCCTCCAGTCAATTCCTGGAGGACGGTGCACCCCACCCAGCACCCCTTCTCTGAGGCGGAGCCGGAGCGGGAGCCTGCAGGGTTCGGTCAGCCTGCTACCGTGAGGGCCGGTACTGGGCCGGTTCCTCGGGACGGACTGCGGAGACAGAGGGCGCCTCTCTCTCCGCCTTACCACCGCCGGGCGCTCTCTCCCTTGCGGAGAGGCCTGAGGGCGAGCCAGCGGCACCATGCGGCTGAGCTGCGCCCTCTCTCCCTCCAGGCGACTGAAGCGCTGGTTGACCGAGGATATCGATCCGAAGAGCCCTTCCGTAGTAACGGGGGCCCCAAGGAGATAGTCTCGGTCTTTCTTGGCCAGTGCGGTCAGACCTAGCCACACGTGACACAACGCCACGTGGCCAGGGACATCACACGACCGGCTGTGGTAGCCATAATGTGGACCAGATTATTCATCTGGCCCACGCAGAGGTTCGAGTAATCACTCCTGCCCTCAGGCGGGAGAAGGGGGTGTCCTGCCGAGGGGTAATCAGCGACACTCCCAACACACCAAGATTACTGGCCGCCGCCGCAATCTGCGCCCCGAGCCTGAACATCTTATCCAGATACTCAAGCATTTCGCGGTCACGCGGCCTTCTCCCCTCTGCCCACCCGACTGACTGCGGAAGCAGATGGGCCGCCAGGCTTTCATCCAGTCGGGGCACACAGCGACACTCCGTGTCCGAGTGGCCCTGCACCCTGAGGATTCCAGCCCATGTCGCCACCGGAGCCTTCGTCGCCAGTGGCTGTCGCCACGTCGCCTCCACACACCGCCAGACGTCTGGCAGGGGGGTGAAACGAAGGCCGGCTGCGCCGAAAGGGCCGGGCCGTAGAAGCCCTGACGTAGGCGGCTCACCGCTCTCGGTGGAAGCGGTGGGGGGAGCGGTAAGCCCGCACGCACCGCCGCCATAGTCATCACCGCTGGGAAGTCATCACCGCTGGGAAGTCCTGTCGCGCAGACCTGTGCTGCTGGCCTTCCTGGCGGTCGCTGGAAACATCAGACGACAAGGTGTCGCCATCGTCTTCCCCCCCACCGACGAGCGGACCCGCCCGGTTCGCTGGTATGGCGAACACGAAGGGCCTTTCCTCCTCGTGGTCCTCCATCTCCAACACGTCGAGCTCTGGGTCCTCCACCGGCGAGACGTAGCAGTCCTCAAACTGCGCCAGACGCTGATGGCGGCTGAGCCGAGGAATTAGACGGCAGGCGCTGCAGGCCGTAAGCGGGCCCAGGTTGGCCGCCGCGTGGTCGGACCCCAGGCATTTAATGCACTGGCGGTGGAGGTCGGCGCCTGCAATGGCGCCCGGACACGAAGGACAGGGCCGCTACTCCAGCAATGGTGAGTCCATTTTCTTCGTTGTTTTGCATAAATGTATCCGTCTCTCTTCACTCAGTTGTGTCTCTCTTGCTTGCTGAAGAGAAAGGGGCCTCCTTTTATGCGGTGAGATGCAAGCGCATTCAGGTAGGCCCGCCCTGGGGCCGTCTCAATGGATGAATGCTTGCATGATAGGATCAAGGGGAGTACCCATAGAGTCCAGAGGGCGGAGCCTGTGAGAGATATAACATTGGTTTTGTGACCGGCTCACTGCAGCAACCCCTGCAACGTATAGTGTCATTATGAAATGAAAAGAAAAAGAGCATAAACATCAATAAACTATTAGGCTATAGTCCAAATCATTACTTGATTGACAACCATTTGGATGTTTCATACCTTTTTCTCAGCTAAAGCCTTATAATATAAGATACATGATTTCCATTAGGGCACGTTGCCAAGCCTCCTGATATGAAGCTATGAAAGGTTGCATGAATTAAGATGACCTATACCTCCCCTGTGCAAGTGAATAATGGGTTGAATGAATTACATTAGTCTAATTAAAAGTTTCAAGACAGTAGCATAAATTAAGTTTAGATATATGGTTATTGATTTTAGTGATTTCAATTTGAAAGTGTCCAATAGTGACCGACTAATTAACTGGTGTTCTTCATTTGAAATTAGTAACAGACCAATTTCTCGCAATATAATTTAGAGAAGTATCACTTTCAGAAACTTTGAAGCCTCAATGTCACTTGCAAAAGTAATTACTTGAGTAATAATTTAATTTGGTCTCAATAATTCCAGACATGGTGAAGCATGACTGCACACTCTAATACTGTTGTAATTTGAGGGACAATATACTTCATGAATGGAGTAGGCTTCTCCTGAAAGTGCACACTTAAAACTGTGAAGTGAGAGATAGAATATAAAGCCAGGAAAAAAATCCTTATATTTAGATACCATGGGGTCTGAATGCAAGATAAATTGGATAAGAAATTGAAGAAATTGTGAATGTGCCTGGCAAATGGGTAGAAACTCTGAATGCACAAAAAACCCAAGCTGATTGATACACTTCTCATTGACTCTTGAAAAGTTTATAATCCCATTGCTGAATAAGTCTGGATCCCCTGCTGAATGAAACAGAATATCATGACTCTAAAGTGTCATTTCTATTTCTTTTAAGTATGTTACACTGAAAAATGTAAAATGTGGTCTAGTTATGGATAACTTTTTTACACTTCAAATAGATATTTAAAGTTGAGTTTAGACTTTCATCTACTCTCTTGTTGTCGAGATACAGGATATAGAAGAAATGCCCAAAACATTGTTTTCAGTATGAGGTGCAAGAAAAATAAATATTGGCTATGCATATTTCTTATTGGAAATGTAAGCAAAAAAATATCGGGCATACATCACAGAGAATATTAAAATGACCAACCAAAGAGGAGAGACCAAAAGAAGATTAACCATAACCCTAATGTAAATACATATTGTATAAAGACAAAGTCATCTGAAAAAGTTAATTGTATAGAAAGCGTAGACAGGCTTCTAGGGAGCCACTGCTTGGACAGCTGTTCTAATATGGAAAAGTTTGGCATGTTAACAATATAATTTTTATGAGGAATACAATATCATATGGGGATTATAGCTTTAGCCCCACAAACAGTGGCTGTTGACTGGTGTGGGCCACTGCGGTGGATAATTGATGACAAGTATTACCCCAATGATCTGCTCTACACATGGGAATGCAACTACAGGTGCACTGCACCTAGTTTACAGCGACCTACTTAAAAACTGAAATAAAACACATTAGTTTTCTGGATAGACTGGATGATTACTGAATGTTTGCTTAAGTGCTGACTGGTCGGACCATATGCCAAATCGATATTAACATTTTCAAAAAAAGCCTTTCAGATAAGCTAAAGTGGATATGTAACTCTTTCACATAAAAAATGAACCAGCAGAACTATTGCTTAGCCTTAGGGAATACCTAACACTGTGTTATTCTGCACATTATGTTTAGACATTATAATGACCAAACTTGTTTATAATATTATATGCTATAAAAATAGATATGCAATCAATTTTAAATCTATTAAATCTTTAAGAAACATTTTCTGATCATACTTCATTCATAAAAGTCAAACTTTACCTTATAAAACAGATATTTTTAGTGTTGGTATGACTACTTTTATTTTATTTCATCTGTCACTGATGGTGTTTTTTTAAATTTATAAAACAATAACTTCGAGGATTGCTGACCCAGATCTTTGGTTTTATGCAAAAGGTGGTATTTTGTATGGTACTGTTGCTATAGACAGCTTCTGGTCTTTAAAATGGTCAGCTCCTCTGTTTTGCCGCCCTGTCCCACCACCAGTGAAGCTGTGTGATTCCAATAAAACTGCTTTAAAAATCTTTCGCATACATGTGGAGATACAGTATCTACAGACGCTGTGCACTTTCTGCAGACACGTCACGACTGCTGCTCGCCCTCCACTGTGATGACGTCACCGGGATCACGTGGGTTTGTTATTGCAGGAAGTGAAGATGGCGGGTCAGTCGTTTCTCTCCGAGTCTATGCTCGGGTGGTCTATTTTCACTTTTATACTTATGGTAAGCACATTTTCACTCGTGTAAAGTTTTCATTAAGTTGTTGGCTGTCATACAAATACTTTGAGATGTTTTAGCAGGTCTAGAGCCGGCGTGGTTAAGGTGTTACGAAACGAAAAGGCTACAGTGTATCAACGTCAATATTGGCTTGGGATTGACTTTAGCTAACATTAGCCATGACACACTTTAGCATACAGGCTGTGTTGTGCTCAATGTAGAATTATATTCGCTTAAATTGCATACTAAAAGCAGGGGTAGTGTTAATCAGCAGTATTTTGAAAATAGCTGTCAACTATGTTATAATGTACAGAACATTAACATCTCCTTTGAACTTTTCTGGGTGACAGCTTCTACCTGTTCTAATGCGTAGTTAGTTTTCACCACATGGTTTTAAAATGCGCTTCACATATGTCATGGCGGTGCTGCTTCAAAAGCTAATAAGGCTGCTGTAACCACATATTCTTCAAACACATACAACCTTTCCGTTTATGTAAACAGATTTTGACCCACTCTACTTTTAAACGTTAGCGTTACTTAACTGATTTATTTGAACTTGGTCTCCGTAATCTGCTGCCCAAATTAGCACCCATTATCTCAGCTGTCACTCTGAGTCACGTGACTTAATCAGAAGACGTCCAAGAGAATGCCCGGATGCCAATACTGCGTCCCCACCACCCATCACTTACAGCCCTTTTTATTAGAACAAACCTTTCAGTGGATCTTATTTGATATGCAAAGCCCGCTCTTTGCCTGGCAAAACAAGCAGCCAGAGGCTTAAGGCTGCTGGACTTTAATTGATCCTGTCTGTGAATGGCAGCCCCTGATCTAAAGGGACTAGTTTTAGCAGTGTCCTCACTTCCTACAGCTTGTGTGCCTTGAATATGACCTTGTCATTTCGAAGACCCTTGTTTGTCTCCCTATTGGGTTGCCTACATGTTACTAGGACAATCCCTTTCCCCTCTTCTTCCCCCCTTTTTCCAATGAACTGCAACATAATACATGAGCAAATTCATTAATTAATTCAAAGTTTAAAAAAAAAAACTATGAAAAGTTAACTTTGTGTTATTTCTTGTAAGTTCTTACAATTATTGTGAGTCTACATTCACACTTGTGCTGACAGGATAACAGAAGGGTGTATGATATAATCAGATCATCGTTTTTTCTATCACCTGCAGTCGGGCTATTCTGGTTTATAATCCCCCAGTGTTGTGTTGACACCTTGGTTTGAGTATTTCCTTTTTGGCAATCATCAAGACACACATGGCGGTAATCGTTTCCAAGCACTGTTGAACAGGCAGAAGACGCCACAATATTGTGAAAAGAGTATAATGAAGTTCAATAGAAATATAGCACTACAACACTGATCAATTATTAAGTGTGTTGCTAATCGAAAATGAAAGTATATTTATATTGTATTTACTATCCCTCCTGATGGTATCATTTTCAACTCGATTTAACATATTGTGTTTTCCCTTGTTTAGGTAATCCTGACTTTTTGTTGGTTCTACATTCGGAAATTTCAAAGTCGTCAGGAGAGTGAAGTTGTTTCGACTATCACAGCAATATGTGCACTGGCCATTGCTTTGATAACCTCTGCACTTCTCCCTGTGGACATATTCCTTGTTTCATTTATGAAGTTTCCCAATGGTACCTATAAGGTAAGTCTCTTTTCTTCTAACTGCGCCAGTCAAAATCAATTTGCGAAATGCTAACGAGTTTCCCTGAGGCAGCTTTTAACTTTGCTATGTAATTTTCTTAGAATTAGACAAAGTGGACGTTGTTTTAGTCCAATCTAAAAGCTGAATTCATTTCTTGGCTCATCAATTTTGTGCAAAATCATTGCATTTGTTTCAATCTACTAGAAGATATAGCAAAGTGTGTATTGGCATCTTCATTTGAAGAGCAGGTAATTGTTTCTTTCAGTGGGTTGTGAGGTGCTTTCTACTTTGAGCTGTTAATGATTTTTTGTACAATTCAGTCAAGGCGACCTAAAATAAGATGCACATGTTAGCTCACCACGGACTCAATCCTTAAATTACAAACATAATCTATTGGATTTCAAATGTTGTAATCTAACAAAATAGGGAAAAGTCTGTGTCTGTGTGTATGCATTCATGTATGAGTTTCTCGACAATAAATGCATTTTGAATGAACCCAAGACAGTGAAGACACTGAAAAGGGGTCTTGTAATGCATTATTTGTTTTATGCCTCTATCTTGAAGGGTTATATATGAAAATACAACACACCTTCTGTATTTGTGTTAAAATAACACTATTTCTTATAGTCATTGTTGTACTCTTTTTATTTGTTTTTTTATTTAAGCTTGATGTCTATTCTCATTGAGTATTATACCTACTTCATTCCTTTTAAACTTGATTTTAATTTTTCACCATGGTTCTTCTTTGGTAACATTTAGGATTGGGCGGCTAACAATGAGACAAGAGGGCACATTGAAGACACTGTGCTGTATGGATATTACAGTAAGTGCATTTTCTTTATATCTCATTCTATGTTCACTTAAAAAAAATAGATTCAGGGTTATTTATTGCAGAATTTAAAGGAAAATGTATCTATAATTCCCTAATTTTGCTCTTTGTTTAAAACATGTTCATCAAGTTAAGCTGTTTTGCAAGTCATTCTTACACATGGAATCTATAAAGCAACTTTTGTAGTACATCTTATTCTCCCTAGAGCAGTCTAGCTCAGGTTTGCACCAAAAATACAGTATATCAAAAGGACCATACAGGAGCTGACTGTTAAAAAAACCCGCTAAATGTAATTCATGACACCTGAATAAATAACACGTATAATTAAAATAAAGACAGTCATAATACAATAATCCATATTAGGCAGTACTGTTAAAATAATAGATAGTCAAAAGCCCTTTTTAACTGGGTAATCTTTATAGACTGACCGATAATGTTTTTCCACGATGATGTCATATATCAGAGATATCAAACAGTTCCAGTGTTTCCTGGCAAAATGTCAAGGATGAGCATAAAAATTAATGGAATTTGTCAAATAGCAGGCAGGTTACATTAGTCAACTGAAGCTGACAATAATAAATTACATTTAGTGTTGCATAATTATGCTGAAAGTTAACGTTGGATGTGACTTGTGCAGCACACGCTATATCACTGGAGAACACGAGGTGAATGGTTTTCATGACACTCATATTCAGACATTTTGATATCATTAATACTTTTAACACTGTTCTTGAAAGAGTGATGAGGATTCACTCAGATCTTTGTTTGGTTTATGTAATGCCTTTCTTGTAGATGCAGTCTTGTTCACTTTTGCTATTATGGTCTCTTCCTTAACTGGTTATATACTGTATATATTTTTTAATAATGCAAATATTGACATGCCTTGCTTGGTTCCATGCTTTCATAACCTTGCAATTATTTTATTATATATTACTTATTTTAAACAGGCATGTATTATATTTTCTTTGTTGCTCTTTACTATTTTGTTTACCCATATATCAAGTATGCTGCTGTGTATATTGATGCTGTTTGTGCCTGGCAACAAACTCATGTGAAGTAGCTAACAAGATAGGAAAATACTAAGCTTACAGATCAAGTAAATAACCATGTTAATATAACTTTTTAGTTACTCTAGCAGTGATGAAAACAGCATTTTTCATTGTGAGTGATTGTAACATGTTGGTGTGGTTTGTGTTGAGCTCTGATTGAGCACAGGTGTTTCCACTTAACTCAGCCGTTGTCTAACGAGTGTGCTGCTGGCACGTGCCAACAGTGCTTCAGTAACTTCGGCCTAATCCTGCTAATAGTTTTGAATTACACCTTTTATCATTTTTCAAAAAATGTGGTGGCCCCTGGTAATTCAGGCATATCTCAGCCTAACTTCAACCTAAGCCAATTCCAATAAGCCAGAATAAGTAAAAACACCTGTGTCGGTGTACAAGGCCTTTCAAGCATGACAACACGTTGATGGACCTTCTCATAGTAGGATAAAGCCCAGGTGATATTGATAACCTTAATTATGGCTGTGTCTCTGAAGCTTTGCCATCGAGCCAACATGCGCATTTCCCTTAAGTCTGTGACAGTTTGATTTTGGTCTGACAATTGGTTTTAAGCATACTTAGTTGTATCATTAGTAGATTTATTGAGTGTCCAGTCAGGCATCTTGGACTCTCTTGCCTGATTCTCTTGCAATGAGGGAGGGCATGTCCATCCTCCATCGAAAATGTAGTTGCAATTCATGCAGACGGATTGTATCCAGGCCCGTTTGGCTGTTACATTCCTAGCTGAAAGCTATTAGTGCCTCTGACATTTCTTCATGATTGTCATATTAAAGGATAACATGAGTTTGTTGTCTTTGACAATAGCTAATTCAGTCATGCCAAAGACGCTAGATCACACGTTTTCCAACAGATGCTGGATTAAAGTGCCTGTCAGCAACACTGTTATGTACCGTCTGTTCAGAAATGCCAAATGCAAAGAAGACAAGCTGTCTACTTGCCCAGACAGCCCAATCAAAGAAATCTCTTCCACTGGTAAAATGACATAAGAAAATGTGCTTACTATGAACACTGCACCTGAATCCAGCATTCAAAGCCCCTAGTATACTGTCTCTGGACTGGCTAAGATGATTTTATATACAAGATTGATTTTCTCTGTCAATATCTATAATTTGGATATGACATCCTGTTTAATGGTACATTTTCTTTATATAGTCTTATACAATGAAAACAAAATTGTGTAGGTATCGTTATGAATGCGTTTTTTTTTTTTCATGGCCAAAATACCTAGAAACCGTTGTCATGGTGCAACAGTTACACTTAAATAAATGTGTCACACGTCAAAGGAAAAGGTCAGGTAGTTGGTAAAGTAGAACGATTTTGTTTGAACATTTCTCTAATGGCTCCGAGTGGCTGCTCGAGCTGCTGGGAACAATGCAGGACTACATACTGTGGCACTTGTGCTATGCCAGTTCATAAAGGAAAAGTAGTTCTGTTCATGCCATTCGCAGACAATAAGGGATTTTTATTCCCATATATATTTTCTTATGTGGTCGTAGCCCTGGGAGTGTGGTGTGAAAGATCTGCTTGAAAATCTGCTGTTGTCTTGTAACCTCAGGCTGTTGATAAGCAAGGCTGATTGCTTGTTAAACCTTCCTAAAACTAAAACCATCCCTGCATTTCCCAACCTCTCCCTCTGATTGGTATTGTGGTGTTCAAGGTGAGAGAAATGTGTGAATGAGAGAGAAGAAATCATTTAACACAAGACATGTTCCTGAGGTCAGTGCACTGTTTTTATGATAAGATTCAGAGTTCCTTTCCTTTATGCCCAAACTATTCTGAAAGTAGTTGTTATATATTCAGTGAGATTTGAACCTTTAATTAAAAAGTAAAATGGGATCATGATGCTTCTCTATGTGACTGTTTGTCACTGCAGTGGAGAGGTGTTTGTGAAGATGACATTTGAAGTGTGCTGAGTCTAAGCAAAGTCATATTTTACTGCAGGCTAAAGTAATACGCCAAAATTGAAAATGTGATTAATTCCATTTTGGCTACAAAGTCTATTCAACTATATTGTTGTCGATGTTTTTGACGAACTAGAGACTATTTCCCCCATTCTTTCTAAAGGCATTGCTTTTTTATTTGCCAGTAGGTGGAGACCAAGCTCCATGTGTGTTGTATGCACAGTGCGCTCACAAATCTAACCTTTAAAGTGGATTTTTTTTCTCACAACCTTATTTGACAGCATTGTCCATTTGTCTCTTCACAAATGGAATAATTATAGGCTTGATCCCTGTTCCTATTTCCTCCACTGACGCATGCTTTTTCTTCCAGGTGACTGACTTGCATTCAGTAGCGATCACAGTTAATAAGCGTGGGTATATGTCCAGCTCTTTTTAAACCCCCCCTGCTGAATATGTCCTTACATAGCTGTCATCTGGTAAATGAATGGTGCTTTAGAAAAATGTACATTTCTTCTTTGAGCACAAATGTTTAATCAAACCTAAAGTTGACACTGTTAACATTTCTGCAGCCGCTTGAATCAATCTTTCTGTTTTATGATGATTACCCTGAAAGGTTTTACATGCACAGTCAGGTCACAGTGGAGAAATACTGTATATAGTCGAGAAATTGCAACACCTCTCCATTGTTATTTTTTATGGATTTGTTACTTTTGAAGTGTGATATTTATAGATTATCTCGCCCTATTATTTGTTAAACTGCATGTGTGCTTCTGTTAAAGCACACCAAATGTATGTAAAATCTCTAATTTCTTCACATTCTGCTATTGCTATAATGGCGGCATCAACAATGGCTTCATATTTAGGTCAAATAAATGCATTTAGTCAAATCCTAGATGGGTAAGGGCATTCATTTATGTGTGCATGAGTATAGTTATTTACTTGACTGTAATGTAAAAAAACCGGATATGAAAATATTCTGTTATAGTGAAAAGTTATTTCCTGTAGAGAGAACTGCAGAGTTTTTCTAACCTACACAGTGTTGTATTCAATCAAATGTATCTTCAAATTGACAGAGAGGATGGATGCCTGCAACCGAAACACCCACTTCCTTTTAGATCCCAAATAGCTTTCTGTGATCTTTGATGAACCCTAAGTTTGAAAGCCTCTCAATCTCCAGCCTCTGTCCATTTATACATTTCCTTGGACTACTCAGTACTTCGAAGCACTGGTGCATGAGACCCTTAAGCAACAGTGCAAAATACCCCAGGGACCTCTGAATAAATCATTTGCTTTCTCACTGCCCTTTTTAATGCCATTTGTAGAGGAGAAGTTGTAGAGGAAGGGATCATCTAGTAAATACTCTGCAAGTACTTTCTTCTGACTGTGATTCTTTTCCACCCTGATGTGCTGACTGGATTGTGGAGGAAAGTGGTAGCCAAGTGCTTCTTTGAGACTGTTTTGAAAACATTGACAAATTGCAGTTTCATTTTTGAGAGCAGCTCTGTGTGATCCAGAGGGGCCTTCAATGATACGAACATTGTCCAGTGTGAATAAGAACAATGGGTACTTTTTTTGCCACCATTTGCAAAAAACAAAACCCATAGTGCTTCACTTCTACTTCCTGAATCTAACTCCAAATATACAAAACAGGGATTCAAACATTTAGACAGTGGATAGCATTTTAAGCCTGTAGTTACCTCTTTAACCATTTGTTGTTGTTTTTAGCACCACAAATGCTGGATTTCTGAGGCTGATTCTGTGACTATCAAGTTACTATGATGAGGTTCATTCATTTTGGAAAATAATATAGTGAGCGGGACATTTTACATTTGGAATATAAACCAGACCAACTAGGTTATTGTTGCATCATTCCTAATAAGGCTAATCATATCTATGGTATTTTTGTCATGTCATTTCTTGTTATTGGTGCAGAAATAGACAAACACCCATATTTCTGTTATAAGTTAATATTAATATAATATTGGCCATAGGTCTGTCAAGTTACCATATTTTACTATTTTGGGTTAATCGTTTCCAGAATACATCCCAATAGCAATATTCGCAATCTTTTGAAATGTAGTAATAATATAATCAGTGAAATTAATCTTTGCTGGTTTTTCTCTGCGTTGAGATATTACCATGTGTTTTATTTTCAATCTTTTTAAAATGAAAAGATCAAGTCTCTTCTCTGCTAAATTAAAAGACCCAATTGTATTGTAAAAAAGGTACACGCTATACATATTCTGCACAAACATGACCTTTGCTAATAACCTACATTCTCAAATACCAATTTTACTTCAAAATGTGTTAATATAATTTAGTTGTATTCCATCAAATATATTCGGAGAGAACTCCTTTTGGTAATGTTGGCTTTGCTCAATGAAGCTTTAGAAATGGTTTTTAGCACACACAGGTCTTCTGGCTCAGAAACCATTTGATAATGCGATGCACAAAGATCTTTTTCCCCCATTTAAGAAATTCACTTCACTATTCATGTCCTTCATGGCTACTGAAATTGATGGTCCCTACTTCCTGTAAAAATGCATAAGGGGCCCTGTGGAGTCCATATGGGATATGACAACTTCTTTACAACCAGATAAAACATGCCATTGAGCTATGAAGTGAATCAAAGTGGCATATTCAACAGGATGTTCCATGTTGTGACAGTCCATTTTCAGGCAGATGGCAAAAACTAGAGTAACACACGGCTGGACGATGTTTACATTTAGACCAGCCTCTGCAACACAACCTGTAGGTTTCCACAGTCCATTTAAAGTCTGCAGTCGGCGTTACTGCTTGCTGCCATCTCGTCAGCTTGGAGTCAATAAATCTAAATTTGGGTGACAGTGTTGTGGAAGGTCGGTGAGGGAAAGGTGTGCCAAGCAAATGACAGTCAAAATCAATTGAGTGACTTTGATAGACCAAGAGGAAATGTCAGTCAATGCAAAGATGCTAATAATACACTTCACAAACATTCATTCTCAAATTGCTTTTTCTTTAGGTATTAGGTTACTATGATATGATATAATCTATTCTTTTGTAATAACTTAAATAAGAAAAGTTCTGTATTCAAAGCTATGATAGAGTTTGCCAGCCAGATGAACAAGGCTTTCTTCTTTGTATAGTGGTGAGCTATCTGAATATTTTATATTCATACTGTTATTCAAAACAGGGGTTACACACTTCTTATCATCTTTGAACTGTAGAAAATAGTTGTAAAACTTGATCAGCTCCAAAGAATGAATCAAAACAAACTGACAGCAGAAAGCCGTGATACGCCGTCAGCTTATCAAGTTCCTTTGTCTTGTATGTTAGCAAACATCTGTTTATTCATACGTTCAGAAGAAACCGAGCATCAAATTAGAGTCCTTCATGCTAGCTGTCAAATTGAACTTGAATATTTACTAGTGTTTATTCCAGGTTCGACCCTCTAAAAATGGATACGTCCCTGATGTTTACTGGAAATAAGAGTGCAAGCTCAGAGTGTCATACCTTTCAGCGTGTGTCTGTAGACAGATATTTTCATCTGTCTCTGGAGTCTTTTGTCAGAGACTGTGTTTCAGCGAGAAATCTCCCATGGCATTTCATTTTCACTTAAAATGTAATACATGCTGCCTGTCTGCAAGTGCCAAGAGTCCAGGTGCTAATGCCCCTGTGGAGAGCCATAGCAAGGTGAAGACAAGGCTCTAATGTTCCTCATTTAGAGTGAAGCTACTTTCTTTGATTGATATGTTGGAATATTTATAATTGTTGTACATTTCTGCAAATGATGATTAAAATATAATGAGGTTTTGACTATTGCGTGTGTGGATTTACTCACATTGTTTCCCCAGCTGGCACTCTGTTGGTAGATGAAGGTTTTTTTTCAGCCATCTCTTCAACCAATTTTCCAAAATGTTGTTGCTTTCCTTTCAGTAAGGGGAGTGCTATGAACACAAAAATGTATAAAGGGTGAAGGAAGGACATGTATTATTTATTCTCTACTCTGTGTCAGGAGGATAAGTGTGCTAAACTTGTATCCCTGGTCAGGTATTCTCCCTGTAGAAGATGTGCTTAGAGTAATGGATGATACATGGTAATGCAGTTAACATGTATCATCCATTCTCTATTCTCTCAGTATGTTAATATTCCCGGTGTTTTGATTCATTTTACGCATTGCCTTAACCCGCAAGCATATGTCAGCGGCTGCACACAGTGCATGGCTTGCATTTATTGGCTCCTGGCATCATCCTAGACTCACTTTGTCTGGCTGTAAATGAGTGTAAATGGATATGTTAGTGGCGCAATGAATACGTGTTTATTGGAAGTAATGCCCTGTCACAATCACAGCTGGCAAAACGAAAGCCACTGTAACAATGACATTCATTTGTCCGAAGCAGAGAGAGCATTTTGTGAAATGTAGTCCATTTCACAGGGAAGCATGTTTATACTTGCCTGAGGCCATGCACTATTGACTGATATGAAGCAGTTGTTTTCCACATGTACACTGAAGTGTGGTACTGAAAGTCCCTTATATCATATATGATGAGGCCCTCTGTTTCGCAAGCGTCGACGGGGGACGAGGTGGTGTGCTAGTGGCGTCTCGCAGCGCTGCGCAAATTTGGCGGCATAGGTGCGCCATTTGCGGCTCAGTTGAGGCTCCCTCCGCAAGATGAGGCTCCCTCCGCAAGGTGAGGCCCCACGCAGTCTGCGTGATCGGCCTGTAGGGAGGGACGGCCCTGGGTACTGATGTTCTGGATTAAATGTTATCAGGAGCAGCGTTACAATTTTGCTATAATATGCTAGTTTGGCACTGCTTAGGGCAAATAATAAGATGTTGTTTTGTGTTGGTCTTAAGATTTTATCCATTATTTTGTTTCTGACTTCCAACAAAGACTTTACTCATGTATTGAAAATGGCTACAGTCAAACCAAATCTCTATTCAACATGTAGGAAAAAGGGACTTGTTGTGGTTAGCTGTTTGTCTTTCTGCACATGTTTCACTTGGCATCACAATGTGACTTGTGCTAATGATTCACATTATCACCTCAAAGAGGCGTTGGGCTATGCCAACCATGCTGCTGGGTGCCTTCGTGTTTGTTACATGCTTTCCTTTGAGTTATTTTGGGTTTGTCTGCTGTCTTCACTGGCATGCATTTGCAGCAGAAAGAAAAGCCCCCAGCTTGAAATAGCATTTCTCTATTAGTGTTTTTGACTCGCCTCCGCCCTATGAATTCCTAATGTTTTCGACTGGTGGTCTTTCTCTTAAAAAGTTTATTGTACAGGAAGAACTAAACAAGCAAACAACTTAGATCACAGAAGAGCGAGTTTTTTAAACCAATAACAGCTTTATTGCATTCACTGTGTCCAATTCATACAGAAGGTCTATGAAATTATTTTCTGACGAAGATGGCTTTTTGCTATAGAATTGCTGTATGTTTATTTAGATAATCATACCTCCTCAATCAAATAAAATGCTCCTGTTGTTGTACAATATCAGAACGTCCAATGAAGGGATGTAATACTTTTCTTTGCAAACCAACCCAGAAACTTTTAAATACATACATATAAAGCTCTACTGGGTGGTCATTGACTGCTAAATGAAGCGTTCACTGAAAACATTCATTTCAAAAACATATTACCTGCTGCTGGCCCAAAATGTCTACAGTGCATTTAATCTGATGGAAGCTTCCCCTAAGCTGTTTTAGGGAACATTTCTTTGAAACCCACACTTTAAACCAAAAATAATTAGTTCATAAAGATTATTGCTCCCTCAATCTCATGACCCTTTCTCTAGATATGTCGCGATCCTAAATTATGAGATATGAGTTGTTGTGTTTTTTCAATGCCCATTTTGCTTTGACCCTCCTGGATCTCTAGATATTTTGAGCTAACAGAATTGCAGCAACAGCTGGGTTGTGTAACATATGTATCATAAACCCCATGTGTTTTGTTTTCCTTATAATGGAAGAGTATAAGGCTGCCTAAAAGAGTGTGCATTTGTATTATTGGTAACAATGTTTTACATTGATTAATTCTACAGTATTGTATGCAATGTCCATGTAATTGACAACCTAAGACAATGCCCAATAGTCACACATCAAGTCAAGTCAACTTTATTGTCAATCTCAAAATATGTTTGTACACACAGAAAGATCGAAATACTGTTCCCCATAGTCCCGAGGTATAAAAAAAAAAACTCACACATTAAGATGCAAGAACGCTCAATAATTTACAAAAAAAACACAAAATAACTGTCTACTTCAAGTAAGCAGGATATACGGTATATAAAAGATGATGTACATAGTACAAATGGGAGTGACAATTTGGAGTGCAAAATTGTCCATAGCAGCGTAAAAGTGATGCAAAATATGACATTGAGCAGCTATTGATATACTATGCAGTCTGTTTTCAAGGGGGAATTAGGGAAGTACTGACAAAAGAGAAAAGCAACACAACTGGTTCAAGGTTAAGGAAAAGAGATACATTTGGTCTGTGGGGAAAGTTAAATGAGAGGTGTTTTATAACAAATGTTTTTTTAAGGATGACTGAATTTAAGTTATTTAAGGTTTCTCTGTGGTCTCAATGTTTCTTGGTATGTGAATAACTGATCCCTGCCCTAGATTTGTCATTAGAAGACTTTTAAGAAATGGGGTCATGCCGTCTCAGAAATTCTGATGACTGAAGTGTTTGAGTTTTGAGGAAATGGTGTTCCTGAAAGGGGGAATTATATTAGTTTATGACTGTAGTAAGACAGAAACACAAATAGTTTTTTAATATACTTTGCCTTTCAGATGATCAGGATGATCAGGGTAAATAATTAACACTGTAATAACAACTTCAAATCGGAATATAACACATTACATTTATAATATGTACCATACTTGTCATACATGCTCTGCAATGCTTTTACATTTTGACGTCATGATAAAACACATTGCCCTACTGTGTGCTCATTAGGGGTTATAGATTTGTAGATGTCTGTGACTAATCTTGGATTTCAATCCTTTTTTTCTTGACATATAGCACTATACTCCATCATACTATTCTGCGTCTTCCTATGGATCCCCTTTGTTTATTTCTACTATGAAGAAAGGGATGACGACAACATGAACAAATGCTCGGTAAGAACTCACATTTCTTCTTATACACACAGCACTGCAATCTGCTTGGATTTGGTTCTGAAGGATCCAAATTCATTCAAATGATTCAGGTGCAGCTTACCAATATGGTAAATGCAAAATGTCTTGTTGTTGTGGTTTAAGGCAACATGAATTGTATATGACAAACACTAAGAGATGATTTCCATCTTTCCAAATACCAAAGTCTTTACTCCAATCTTCTGTTTACTCCTTTGTCAAATCAGGTTTTGTCAAGCACAGTGGCTGAGCAGATTTGAGTCTTTCTGGTCATTTTGGCTGTAATGTTCTTTTATGGTTTGTTTAATATTTGGCGGGGCCTGGCACTGAGGAAACCACATGTAATTGGAACGCTGTATTTGTACAATCGCTAAATGACATACATAATATTGAAACGCTTAAAGGTGGGGTAGATAATTTAGGAGAAACCAGCTCGAGTTGGGCGCTAGAATTTTTTGAAAATACACAGGCCGAAAAATTGGCCACTTCCTTACAGAGCCCCATCCCTCCAACATACGAACGTGCAGCATGACCAATGAGGCGCAGCGAGATAAGTTGTGGCCAGCCAGATGGAAGCTGACAGGCAGGTAGGCGCATCGCTGTTAGTTTAGCCGGGCCGGCTCAGGTGGTTGGTCGTGCTTTTTAGGGCAGATGACACTTTTTTTATGAATTTTTTTGTCCCCAAAGCCAGCTTAATATATTCATTGATATCGGGATGTTAAGAGCATTCCATGGAATATAACAAAAAAGTGTATCTCGAGCGGTTTCTCACAACCTTAGCCTACCCACCTTTACAGGCTAATCAGTATTATTAATAAAAAACAAAAAAATCTTTATAAATACGTACTCTGCTATAGCCGCGCGTTCACACCAAGTACTTTTCCCACAAAAGGTTCGGCTGAGAACCTACGATTTAGTTGCGGTTTTCACACCAAAAAAGCCGCCAGGAATAAATAGTTCTAGAGAACCTTATTTACCCCCTTTTCAGTCCCCTGCTAGAGATCAGGAACTTTCATGGAAGAAAAGGTTCCTGTGTGCTGATTGGCTGGGGGCCCGGAATTGCAAACAAAACGCCCCGTCAAACTCCCCAAAAACGTTTGTGAAGCCGCCATTTTTATTAGCATTATTCAGCATTAGCATGTAACCCAGTGGGCAGAAAAACGGCAAGAGACGATTTAATTTATGTCCAACACAAATAAAACATGGTAGCGGTGAGATGAGGAAGGGTGTGGCGTTCTGGCCGTTTACTTCCGAAGGCTTCAGTAGAAGCTGCTGGGAGTTCCCAGCAGCTTCTACAGCGCCGTAAACTCGCAGGGACTTCCGGCGCGGGATTTGGCGGCAGCATACGTCCGTGGAAGTTGTTTGCAGCCTGCCAGTGAAACCGCAAAGCAGAGAAAGACAGAAGTGACGTCAGCGGCTTCATTTGCCTAAATGCCACCCCGCCCCCCCGCTCCGCTCCCCCCCGCCCCCCCCTCCCGCCCCCGCCCCCCTGGAAAAATTTCGCGGTGTGAACGCGATTCTGTAGCTCTAGTTCATGAGAACTAAAGAGTTCTCAGGAACTTGCGGGAAAAGTACTTTGGTGTGAAACGCGCCATATGGTTAATGGGCCAATGTTTGCTTAACGATATTCAGTCAGAACGTTTTTAAGGGGCCATGAAGATAACAGATAATCAGCACTTAATGTGTGTGTGTTTTAGCA